TCTTCTTCTTCTTCTTCTTCTTCTTCTTCTTCTTCTTCTTCTTCCTCTTCCTCTTCCTCTTCCTCTTCCTCTTCCTCTTCCTCCTCCTCCTCCTCCTCCTCCTCCTCCTACTACTACTACTACTACTACTACTGGGGGGGCAGCTTCAGTCAAGGTGGGAGAACGACTAAATCCCAGTGCAGTATACATGCACACCCACCCACACCCCTCTAGGTTGCTTTAATGGTTGCATCAAGAAGTGTGTTGAAGGATCTGAACTCTCAACGTAACTCAACTGCAGGCTCCATTCCACCCTGCCCTCCTTGGGGCTTCCCAACTCCCTGGAAGGTCTTTTCCTTTTACTCTCCAGTAGCCCACCACCACCAGTTGATCAATGTAGGGATTTCCCACTGAAGGGATCGGGACCCTCAGCTCCCCTTCGAAGCTCAGAGGCCTTGCCTCGGTCTCTCCCACTAACCCAGCGCCTGGCTGCCACGAGGACAGATTAATGCCGTGTGTGCCCCTCGGAGAAATAGACAGTTGCCAGTTGCGTGCCTCCTGGGGCTCCCTTTCAAAGTAGTGTGTTCAAAACAGGGGGGGGGGTCTATGAGGTATGGAGAACTGCTTCTTGTATCAACAGTTTAAAACATTTATTGGAAAGAAAACATTCACAGGCCTGTTTTTAGAAAACCTTTTACGAGCCTCTCCTGCCAACCTAGCCGTTCGAAAGCAAGAAATTGCAAGTGGGAAGGTAACAGCGTTCCGTGTGCCTCGGTGTCTAGTCGTGCCGCCCACATGACCACGGAAACGTCTGCCGGCCACATGACCACGGAAATGACTTCGGACAGCGCTGGCTCTTCGGCTTGGAAACGGAGATGAGCACCGCATCCCTAGAGTCGGATTCGACTTTACCTTTTAGCACTGCACAAGATTGAAGCAAGGAAGAACAAGAGAAATTGGTAAAACACAGGCAAGGAAGAACAAGAGAAATTGGTAAAACGTAGATCCTCTGTCCCTCTCAGCTATATGTGCCCTAACTGATGGGAAAAATAGGACAGGCTCTTTAACTTAGCTTTTCTGATTCTCGAAAGATCTGCCATTGCCTTAAAGCTTGCTCCCAGCTCTTTAGGCCAGCCGCATGGTCCAAAATGGCTGCCTGCTCCCAACCTCAGACAAGAGGTCTGTTCCGCTCAGCATGCCAAGGAAAGAGAGAGCAACTTCCCCCTTGCAAGGAAGTTTTATTAACTCTCTGTCTTCACCCACTTGGCCCTGGTCAGCCCAGGTCAAGGCTTCTTTTCCTGTTGTCTCCAGAAAGCACCTTCCTGACTTCCTGTCTAGCCAGTCCCACCTTCAAACCTCTGTTCCCTGCTTGGAGAAGGGGAGGGGTGAAGTGGCCCATCCCACTGTCTCTAGCAAGACCCATTAACATTCCTTAATGGGTGTGCCTGGAAGGCCAGGGGCTACTTCCCCCCCCCCCGCTTGTTCTTAGGTCAGGGGAGGGGGAAACTGGTTAAAACATACAGCGTAGTCCTGCTCGTTGCCAACCTTCCAGGAGACTAGGCATTTCTCCACAGTTAGCATGTCTCTTGGCCCTTCAAAATCCCGACACCCATTTTGGCCCCTCGCCAGGTGGGTGCATCTGGCCCTCAAAATCCACGCTGGGTTACTTCAGTGTATTTGTTGGGGGCTGCCTTTGAAAGGAAGGTCTTTGAGAGCCAGTTTGGTGTAGTGCTTAAGTGCACGGACTCTAATCTGGGAGAACTGGGTTTGAGTCCCCACTCCTCCACTTGCACCTGCTGGGTGACCTTGGGCAAGCCATAGTTCTGACAAGAGCCGTCCTTGAA